AAAAAAAAAAAAAAAAAAAAAAAAAAAAAAAAAAAACTACAAAGAGACACACACCTATTAAGATGGCTAAAATTAAAAAGACTGACAAAACCAAGTGTTGGTGAAGATGAAAAGTAACTGGAACTTTACACCAGTGGGAATGTGAAATGGTGCTACCACTTTGGAAATCACTTCACAGATTTTTCTAAAAGTTAACCACACTCCTGTCATATGATCCAACAATTCTACTAGGTATTACCCCAAGAAAAATGAAGGCATATGTCCATACAAAGACTTGTACACAATTGTTCATAGCAGCTTTATTTGTAACAGATAAAAAGTGGAAACAATCCAAATGTCCTGGATGAATGCATAAACTGTGGTCTGTTCATATAATGGATCAATGATCACCTGTGGATGTCAGGGCACAGAAGGCTGGATAACGTTACAAGGGGAACAAGGAAATCTGTAAGGCTGTGTACATGCTCCTTACCTCAGCTGTGGTCATGGTTTCACCATGAATTACATATGTCAAGACTTACCAAACCACACTTTACATATGTACAGTTTATCATAGGTCCATCATACTTCCATAAATCTATTTTAGAAATCTGTTTTAAAAACCCACAAACTGTCTCCCAGAAATTTTTAAACATCAGTAATGTAATACTTATAATTCTGAATGGTGCATGGTCCTGATGTTAACCCTGGACCCTAGGCGAAGACCCCCGGTTCAAGTCACCTACCTGTTTTGGGGGTCTCAGGGACAGAGGGACCCAGTAAGGCAGTGCTGCCTCGGCCCTGGGAACAGGCAGGCGGCCCCCAAATTTGGTCTGGCACTCGCAGCAGATGGGCTCTCGCAGAACAGCATGGGGGCCAGGGTACATCTGAGCAGGATCCAGAAAAGACAGGATTGAATGCTGTGCCGCATCTGCAGTGGAGCCAAGAAGCTTTCTAGCATCTCAATTCAATGTTCAGAACGAGGGTCCAGGGGCAGGCACAGGCACCCAGGCTCCTGCTGCACCCTGAGGCCCTCAAAGTCATTTACAGGGGGATCCCCTGGAGCTGTAAACCAGGTGCGCTGGGATTCTCAGCAACTAACTGCCATGTTACTGTGAGCAAGTCTCATGATCCCCCTCTGAAAACAGTAGGGTACAACCAACTCTAGAGGTTGTGGAGAGATGAGCACTGCTGTTGTGGTCATCTGTCATTCTGCATAGAAAGCTTCACAGTTTGCAAGGGCTTTCATATCCATCCCATGGGACCCGAGCAACCCCCAACAGGCAGGAAGGAGAGGTGCTGTCGCCCCCTCTAGGGGCAGATGAAGAAGCTGATGCCCAGAGCAGGTAAATCAGGTAGCCCTGCTTGGTCTCCTGAGGCTCCTGAACCCAGTGAGATGTTGTGAGGGCCTGGGAGGGCAACAGGTGACCCTGCATAGAGATTCTGGGGGCTCGATGATAGCCCCTGCAACCACAGACTTCTGTGTCTGGTGCATCCCCTCATGAGTTGCAGCTTCTGGACCCACATTTTCCGCTCTCCCCACTGCACAGGTATGTGTCGGAATTGGAGCAAAGTAGCTGAGGGTTTGCATTCCTTACCGAATGAACTGAGAGGCACACTTCTTTCCCAAGCATTTGAAATGTGCTTTTCCTAGAAAAGAAGAACAGGAAGGCTTATAAAGTTCCAGGCTCTGTGTAAACGGGTGGGAAGGGGTGCTAGGGCGAGGGCCTGGGCCAGCCTTCTTGAAACCCGCTCTTATCATCAAACCCCAGAGGTAAGGGGATCATCTTCCTGAGCCCAAGAAAGGTTAGGGGGTGATGTCAGAAGCAGGTGTGCTCCCTTGTGTACTAGCCTGGGGGTTCCCGAGAATCAGCTGTTGTGGAATCCTGCATTCCCAAGCCAACTTGTTTCAGCACTCCAGCTAAACTTGTGTTTGGCCCATGGGGAATGACAGGAGTGTTTCCACCTGATGAGAACTTTCCAAGACATGGAGCTGCCAAGCTGGCCACTAAGATGCTTTCCCAGACACTCCCAGCTTACTCGGAATACTGAAGGAGAATATTGTCAAACTGCACATTAACGAAACTCCTTCCAGGATAAAAACCTGAGTGCTAGTGCTTTGTCTCTGGGATGACAAAGCATTTCGGGTTACACAGACTCTATGTAAGTCTTCCGTATTCTCCCCAACAAATTGCTAGAATAGTGGCCACACGGAGAGTCTCCAGCGGGTATAAATCAAACACAAAGCAAATCCCGATATCCCTGACAACGATGTGTCAAAGTGGTTCCTAACGTGGAATCTGTAAGAGAGATACAAGCTTTTGTGTTTCGTTATTATCCTAACAATCACTCTCATCAGTATTTTATTAGAGTAATGGCTTCAGGTCACCGAGCTCTACTGTCCCAGGTGATGCTCGAGAACACTGGTGCAGTCCTACGCTGCAGGGCCTCCAGCCCCGCGAGGCGCTCAGAGGCTGGTGTGAGATTGCTCTGGGGCTCTGTGCTGGGATTACTGGGAGGAGAGAGTCCCCACTACCGTCCAGGCTGCTGATCTGCAAACATGCGACCTCAAGAAGTCTCGGCGGTCACGCTGCCTCCGCGAGGGACGCCGCACAAAAGAAGGGTCTCCGGGAGATGGGGACGACGGGGACGGCAGTCCTCGCGCACCTGGACACATTGTGCCTGAGGCCTACTGCTGACATAGTCTGTTGTGGGAAACGATAAGTCGCCTTCTTGCTCACGTCTACTTTCGTGTGCTGACTGTCGGTGGCGACCGAGAGTCCTGCCTGCGGGACGCGACTCCGGGGGCGCCCCAGGGCCGCTGCGGCACGGGGCGCACTTGCCTGACATGCTGCCCCTGGGTGTGAGTGCCTGCCTATGGGACCGCGCGGGGCCCAGCTACGTCGGAGAGCATCCCGACGACTGTAGCGACAGCGACCGCCGAGGCAGAGGCAGCGCGCTCGGGCGTCCCTCTCAGCGCACGGCCGTCCCACCGCCCGCGCAGCCGATTGGCCTGCGCCCGGCCAATCAGGCGCTGCCTTCTTGCGATGTGCACTAAGCCGGCGGCTGATTAGCCCCTCATGGCAGGACCTCGGGGTCAGCGGGTCACAGCGGAGGCTGCGGACGCTCGACCTCCTCTCAGTCGCCCATATCCCTGGCCTGGTGGCCTCCGGGCCCGAGAGTCCACCCACCCCGACCCCGTGAGCCCGCCGACCCCGACCTCAGGAAGCCCGTTGACCCCGACCCCAACCCGGATCCCGGGAACCCGCGGACCCCGATCCCGGGGAGCCACTCACCATTTCCGACGGATGGGCCTTTGGGGCCGCGGCGCGCCGCAGCCGGGCTCTCTGTTCTCTGCGGAGACAAAGAGGTGGGACGGGGCTACCAGACCTGACGACCGCTGGGAGCTGCCCTGCGCGGGTGTGTCCCTTACGGTACTTGGGACCGACTTCTGTTTAAAACCATGCGTTGTTTACCGAGATTGAAATTCGGCTGCGCGCTTAATTCGTTCATTTTCATGCGCTGAATCCGGCAGCCCTTCCTGAGGGCTCAGGTTGTGACTTTTTGAGAACCGGGGTTCCTGACAACCGGGGTTTCAAGGCCGTGGAATTCAGAACGGCTGCTGTCTGGAGCGTCGGGTGCTGCTTGCAGGGGGCCCTCTGGCCTGTTTTTCTCTGTCCCCTAGCCTCCCTCCCTGCACCCTCACTCCTCATTTGTACACGTGTGTGCTCGCCTGCTCTCGTGTGCACTTTGGGCAGTTGCTGAGACGGAGACAGGATGTGTCTTCATATTTTAGTAAAACCCGATGCTTTTTGCCTCTCTCTGTTTCTTAACTCATGGCGAACTCCAATTTGTATTTCTTGGAAACGGTTGGGTCTTTCCCCACTTTTCAGTATTTTTATGCTGACTGATACTTGATTAATATTGGTATTTTCCCAACCCGTCATAAGCAAGTCTAGCCCTAATGGGCGACACCTCAATGTGCTGCTTTCCAGCCACAGAGCGAATAGGATGCTCCCAGGCACTGCTCGGATTTCTTGGCTTCATTATTGAACCATTAAGATCATGCCCTGTGAACAGCACCCATGCTGCTTGGGCAGTGCCCCTACCATATTAGGTGCTAATTGTCTCAAATGTCACCTGTGTGTGTGTAAATAATGTCACTGGTCTCTTTATAACTAATGGTAGAATTGTCCAAGAACCTCACCATTAGTCTAGCATTTTATTTAGGGCTGTCTCATTTCTGCCCACTTTGGAGTGCTCTTGGTCTCTCCGCTCCCTCCATTTTCCTCCTGAGCCTTACTCAGCAAGGCATAGAAGGCAGGCTTATACCTCCTCGGAAGCTCTGGCCCTCCCCACTGGGATGCTGTTATATCCTTTTATGTCAAGAATAGCTCATCAGTGCCTCCCACCCACCCAAGAATGGCTAAAATTAAAAGGACTGACAATACCAAGTTTGTCAAGGATGTAGCAGCTGGACCTCTCATATATTGCTCATGGTATTAATATAACCATACTGGCAAACTGACTGGCAGTATTTACAAAACCTAAACATGAATACCCTATGACCAACTAATTCCTCACTTCACCCAAGAGAAATGAGAGCTTATTTCCACCAGAAGACATGAACAAAAACACCCATGGCAGCTTTCTTCATAACAGCCACAAACTGGACATGACCCATCCATAGGAGTAGAGATTTTAAAAAGAAATGGTGGCATACTTAAACAGAAGAATACTACACAGTGCTGGGAGAGAACACACAGCTGCAGCCCATGACAGCAAGGGCGAAGCACACAGACAAGCCAGACCCCAGGATGCACACGTAACTCCACATGCGTGATGTTCAAAACCAGGAAAGCAAATCCACCCAACACCGGCCAGTGGTCCAGAGGAGACTGCCCACCCCTTCCCAAGTGTTCAGGGGAGCAGGGTCCTGGATCCTGTCTTCACGCTGCCTCTTATCAGAAGCAGATACCACACAAGATGCCTAACTTTTCTCAGCCTCAGTTTTATCTGTAAAATAGTGATGACTTGCCAAGGAGGTTTGAGAAGATCCAGTAAGACACAGCATGAAAAGTGCTCACAGGAGAGCTAGGCACAGACTGAGCATTCAGTAAGCATCAGCTTACCATGCAAGCATGGCAGAACAGTACCATGAACTTTCTTCTCCATATATTTCCCCTTTCCCTTCCTGCTCCTAGCAGGAGGTTGACTCACTGCCACTGCCCCAGGAGAGGAAAGCGGGACCAGAGGAGCTCGTGGCTAGCAAGTGTTAGCCTTCAGACTTCTGTTTCCAAAGCCCCAAGGTAGGGGGAAGGAGGAGCAGAAAGAGAGCTCTGTGAGTCCCAGAGTCGTGAGAATGCAAGCTGAGCCTACAGAAGCTGCTCAGTCCCAGAGAGGAGCAGTTGCAGGGGCCTCCCAGCACACACCTCTGCGGGCAGTCTGTGCCCAGGCAGAGGCAGGGCTGCCTGGTACAGTTGTGCAGTTCACTCACCATCCCGGGGTCCCTGGCAAGAGCATGAGCAGGGCTGAGCCTGCTCTGAGAAGCCAACTTATATGAATTTGCACAGGAGCACATTGGGCTAGTGGTGGCCCTGCAGTGAGGCCTGACACCTGAACAGTAGGAGCCACCAGACCAGAGGAGACCATCAACCTGGCTGGACAGGGCAGAGAATCAGTGAGCCTCTGAGGCAGACACACTGCTGCTCACCTGTCACTCGCTTCATGGGCTGACAGCTGCCAACACCTGTCACTCTGCTTGATGGCTCCTTCCAGCCACCAGAGAGTAGCCTGGCCCATGTCTGAGGGCAGCCCTCATCAGTGACAGGGAAAATGGACAAGTATCCCAGCTCTCTGCAGCCAGGATGGCTCTGGGGTGTGTTCTGCACTGTCTCCAGCATCCCCCTCAGGACTGAGCTCCAGCTGCGCATGTTGCTGACCTCTTCATAATGTCCTCTGTGCTGGCCCCTGCCTTTCCCACTCACCTACCTGTGTTTTCTGGATCATCTCCCCAATAAACTGCAGATCCTCATTTCAGGGTCTACTTTTAGGGGAACCCAAACCAAGACAACCCTTTCCTACCACACCTCTGACCATCACACCTGCTGTGTGGAGGGGCTTTCAGATTGTTACAAACCTTCATGCTGCCTATGCCTGTGCCACAGACCAGCAACAGCCCAGAGAAAGAGCTGCTTCACCCAGAGACAAGAGCAATGACCCCTGGAGACCTGGTGGGCAGAAGAGGAGTCGCTCCAGTCACCGCCACACGCAGCAGTGCTGGCCAGCTGTGGCAGCATGATGCTGAGCAAGTGGTAACAAAATCTTTAGGGAAAAAAACCCAGGTGGATGCAGAGAAATGAGCAGAAAGAAGGACAACAACGGCCTTGCTGAAGGCAGACTCAGTCACCACAATGATGTCAGGAAGGGGAGCAATGGGACAGCCCTTTCCAGACCCTTGTTTCAGACTCAGGGTTTCCCAAAGATGTGAAGCTCCCCATGGAGAGGGGAAAGGGTTTGTCATCCACTGCAAATGAAGACTTTGCCCCACAGGGAGGAGCTGTGGTTGACCCTGTGCAAGATTTGGGGAGGCCAGGGGCAGGGGACAGAGTGGGGACACCTCACTGCCAACTTCATAGAACTGGTGGCCAAGACACAGGGTCACACCCCACCCCCTAAGGCCCTGCGAGTGGACACAGCAGGGAAGAAATGAGACACCAGTCCCCCGGGAATGACGCCATCCTCAGTGCTGCCAGAGTGACCCTGGCGTCAGACTGTGCAGAGCAGGGCCTGGACGGTGTCTGCCAGGCTGTGCACAGCACTCCCCGCAAGGCCTGACTGGGGAGGACTGCTGCTCCCACCCATTTGCACATCTGTTGATCTGCAGCTTTGAAAATGTGGCTACAGAAGCACACATTACTACTAAACCAGAAAAGAACCAAAAATTCATTTTGTTTTGAGGTTGGCTTGTTATTTCAGGATAACTGCCTAATCTGACCCCATGACAGGCACAGGAAAGGAGTTCTGGAAATCCACATTCTGGGGACAAAGTTTAAAAGTGATTTTTTTTTTAAATCTAAAGAGCTATAATTTTGGAAATTTCAAGTCCCTTATTGGGACACTTTTTTGGTCTTTCTGAAGTTGAGCAGTACCTTCCCAGATGGTCTCGGAGCCCCAGGTGCCACTGATGTGTGTCGGTGTCATTTTGTGTTAACTGCCCCTCGATACAGGACTATCCCCCAGACTGTGGTGCCCTGTGTTGTGTGACTGGTCCCTGCTGGTGGACCCATTCTGTGCAGCTCTGCTAAGCCCTTACCGTTTCCTCTTGGGATCACTGGTGTCATTATCGCCCCTGTTCTCCCTGTCTCCAACTGGCATTTTACCGTCCTCTCTTCCAATGGCCGTAGAACATCAGTGCCTTCCCTCACTTCGTCCTCCTGCAGTCTGCTGAGGTACATGGTATTGTCATCCTCCTCCATACTATCAGCAGACCAGTAGGAAAAGGGGCATAGCCCACACCAGATAACCAGGCCCTAAGAGAGTTCCAACCCCCACCACATGGCACCAAGACCTGTGTCCTAGTGCTTTCTCTGAAATCACCAAAACGTTCTCTATGAGATGGTCCCTGCTGCTGTGTCTCCCACGTCTATGGCACCCTGTGGGAGCCTGCCTTCCAATAGAACTGTGGAACTTTGGGAACAGAGGGGAGAAGCTCCGTGGTGATGAGGGCTGTCTGCTGGACTCAGGCAGCCTCTATCTCCTCCCTGGGTCCTGAAGGGCAGTGAGGGGCCAGGAACCTGAGGAGAGGACAGGAATTAGGTCCAGTTCCTCAATGGGCCTCCTGGGCCCCTGGTCCACAGTCCATGGTCATGCTCAATAGCAGCTTTCTGAGTCGTTATCTTCAGAAGGGCTGGCCTGGCCACCCATCGCTGGGCTCCAGCCGAATGCCCTTATCTTAACTGCCTGTGTGCCCAGGTAGAGACAGCAGCAGCCCGCCAGCTCCACTGAGTGATCACAGCAGCTCCATGAGCTAGGCTCCAGGGCCAAGCCACTTGCAGGTGGGACCCAAGGCAGAGCATCCATCCCAGTGGCACACAGAGGGAGAACTGAATCAGATCTAATGACAGGCTCTTCTCTCCCATTCCTCCACCCCACATCCAGCAGTCCCCAACTCATCACCCAGAGTCATCACTTCCCAGGGCACCCATGACTCCACTGTGGTTCTGACCAGAGTCCACACAGCAACCTCCTCAGTAGATGTCTCCCACCTCCACCTTCCTCGACTGCAGGCCATTCTCAACATGGTGGTTAGAACCATTTTCTGAGCCTGCTCAGAAGCCTCCAGGGGCTCCCATGGGGCTCAGAGAGAGCCACAGTCCTCACTATGGCCCAAAGGGCACTATGAGATCTGTGTCTGGTTACACAAGCACACACACGCACCCACATACACATGCACATACACCCACACAAATGCATGTGTGCACACACACATGCACAGTCATCCTCACACCCACACAAATGCATGTGCCCACATGCAGATGAACCTGGTCCAGGTTCCACCTCTGGCCTCATTTCCTGCTATGTTCCTCCTCATTCCAGCCACAGTGCCTTGGTGCTGTTTTCTTGCACCACCATGGCCTTTGCACCTGCCATTTCCTCTGTCTGAACTGCTCTTCCCCAAGTGTCTCAGAGCTGCCTCATAGCCTCTAAGTCTTTATTCAATGTCATCTTCTCAAGGAGGCCTTGACTAAGCTCCCTATTTAAGGTCCACATAACAGTTGTCCCCAAGAGACTTTGGTTGGTGATGATGATGATGATGATGATGGTTGATGATGGTGGTGAATGGTGATGATGGTGATGATAATGGTGATGGTGATGGTGGTGGTGACGATGGTGATGATGACGACGGGTAGTGGTGATGATGGTGATGATGGGGGTAGTGGTGATGATGGGGGTGGTGGTGATGATGATGGTGGTGATGGGGTGATGGTGATGACGGAGCTGGTGATAATGGTGGTGATGGTGATGACGGCAATGACAGTGATGATGATGGTGACAATAATGACGGTGATTATGGGGTAAGTGGTGATGATGGGGGTGGGGTGGTGGTGATGATGGTGACGATGATGGTGATGATGGTGATGGTAGTGATGATGATAGCTAGTATTATTTTTTATGTGCCAAGTACTAGTCTGTGTACTTTGTGTATTTTAACTCATTTACTCCTGACAAGAACCTGTTATAGGTAGGTACTATTATTTTCACCATTTTACAGATGAGGAAGCTGAGACTTTCCTGTCTTGGGCAAGTGAAACTCACTAATGGGCTCTCTTCTCAGTACCGAGACTTAGCTCCTTGGGACTCTTGAGAGGTAAGAAGTATTTTGGGGGCTCTTGAGAAGTTCAGGAAAGGCTCTGAATTCTCTGCAGAATTGCAGGACAGTTTCCCAGCTCAGTCCAGCCAGTGACACACGCAGGTGCTGTCCTCATTCTCCCAGCCTCCCAGCTTCCTCACCCTGACACTGCACTTTTTCCCTTCACCATCTGACTCCTTGTGTCCTCCTGCTCCCTCCACTCCCCCCACTCCCCCCTCCTTTAGTTAATATTTTCTATCAAGGATTGTACAAAAGTTTTGAACAGACACTTTGCCATATATGAGTGGCAACTGTATTAGTCCATTTCTGTTGCTTAAAACAAAATATCTGAAACTGAGTAATTTGTAAGAAAATGAAATTTATTGCTTACAGTTTTGGAGGCCTGGAAGTTCAAAGTCCAGGGTGCATCTGGTGAAGGCCTTGGTGCTGACAGTGACACAGGGGTCTCACGTGGCAGAATAACAAAGCAAAGAGAGTCTCACGTGCTCTTCTTTTAAAGCCCTCAGAACCACGCCCATGAACTAGGGCATGGCCCTCACAATCTAATCACCTCTTCCAAGCCCCACCTTTCAGTTATCATAATAGAACTTCCCACCTTCAACAGTTACAGTGGGGATTTAGCTTCAATGACTTTGGCGGGCATTCAGTCCACTGCAGCAACTGAGCACATGGAAAAGGCTCACCTTCGTTAGTCATCAGGAAATGCGAACTAAACCCATGATGAGTTCCCCTAAATGCCCATCAGAATGGCTGAAATGAAGAGCACAGCATAACAACGGAAGTGTTGGCAAGGATGTGAAACAATGGGAACCCTCACCTGTTGCAGGTGAGGTGAAAGGTGCAGCCACTCTGGAAAGCAGTTTAGCAGTTGTTACAGAGTGAAGCATGCACTTACCATGTGATGCAGCGATCCCACTCCTAGGTATTTACTCCAAAGGAATGAAAACTCCTGTTCACAGAAAAATCTCCACACTCATGTTTATAGTGATTTTGTTCATAAAATGTCCAACTGGAAATGATCCATTTCCATTAACAGGAGATGGATAAACTCTGGTGCGTGCACACCATGGAATATTATTTAGCAATGAAAAGGAATGAGCCTTGGTCCATGTGACAGCACAGGTGAATCTCAACGCATTGTGCTTGGCCATGGATTTTTAAAAGGAGTGAAATTACCCCAAAAGGGGTAGAAATTGGTTCTGGAGGGCAACACAAATCTTACTCTTCTGAAGTATAAAGCACAGATATGCATACGCTACATAAACAGGATGTGGTATTAAAATTCATGGTCAGAGTATTAAGGAAAAAAGTCTAAAAAGGCTCCTCAGAGGGGAACAGTAATGGAGAAAAGGCTGAGAAATGCTGTGCCAAATGAAAGCAGCCAGACTGGAGAAGCTCCCTGCTGCATGAGTCTGTTTACTCAACGTTCTGGAAAAGGCGGAACTATGGGATGGAGCACAGATCAGGGGTGCCAGGGGCTGGAGGCAGGGAGGGGTTGACTATGAGGGGTCAATGGGGTCCACATGAAAGGATTTCAAGGGGTGCAGAACTTCTATGTCCTAATTGTGGTGCTTGTTTACAGCTATGTGTGTCTGTCACTCAGAACTGTACACAGAGTACAATTTTAATGCACATAAATTATACCTCAAAAACCTAACCAATTTTTTTTAAGGAAGGGGAAAAAAGGATAGCTTAACTTTTTGTCACTGAAGTGCAAAGGGCTGCTTGCTAGTCATTTAAATTTGATTTCCTTGAAGTACAAGAGCACTTCACAAAGTTCATGGGGAAAAAGGATCAGAAGATAATACGAATCTTATCATGAACTTTTTAAAGACCCTTGTATGTTCTCTGGAATCCTCTTCCCAAGAGGCATTGAAGGAGGAAGCACTTTGTCGTTCAGCAGTAGAGGACAGCCATAGACAGCTGCTTTCCTGCAGCCTGGAGAGCCTTGGCAGCCTTGGAAAGCTACAGATGCTCAAACCCGCTCCCCAAAGATCACAGCTCAGCACGCCAGAGTGCAGCTCCCTGGTGACGCTGAGCTTCGTGTCCACCCACCCTGTGGGGAGCCACCCGACTGGCCACATGGCAGACAGCTGACCCGATGGCTGCTTCCTCTTCCTGACCCCAGCTTTGCTGAGGAATTGGGGGATGTGCTCTGGGAAGGTAGCTCTCCTAGGGAGGAGCCACAGCTGATTGGAGCATCACAGAAACCCCACTCCCCAGGCCAGAGTTGGTTCCTGAGTGGTGTGGGGCCCAGCTCTGGCTGGTCAGAAGTCGCTGCTGTCAGGCTTCTGGGAATGATGTTCCTCCCAGGTAGGGAAGAAGACAGGTGAAGACATAGTGCCTTGCCCATCTGACCCTACAGGTGCTGGGTCAGGTATCACCCAAGCTAAGCAGCACACATCCACCTGTGCTCCCTCCCATCCCAGCCTTGAACCCTCACTGCACCCGGGGACAGGCCACCTGATGTGGTCTGTGATCAAGAGGAGACCGCAAGAGCCCATTTTCCAGGACAGAATGTGCTGTGACCGCATGGAGACAGAAACCCTGCCGTCTATTCAATGCTGTGTCCCCAAAGCTCAGCACTGTGCTTGGCCCCTGGGAGGTGCAGGTGCTAACCCAGACTTTGCCCCCCAGGGACACTTGGCCATGTCTGGGGGCATTTGGGTGGACTGGAAAGGGGTAATCCTGCCATCTAGTGGGTGGAGCCAGGCGGCTGCTCTGCACCCACAATGCACAGGACACCCCAGCACAGAGCCTCAATGGTGCCCGAGTGGGCAAGCCTCACTCCAAACAAAACAGCCACTGCTCAGGGGTCAAAGAGCTTGCCAGGGTCACAGCCAGGGAGGGGCAGCCTGGGCCCCGTCTCAGGCCTGACTCCCAAATCTAAGCAGTTTCTCCTCTCAAGGCAGCAGTGGGTTGGGTTGCAGCTTGGCTGGGCACGCAGGCAAGTGGTCTGTGCCCAGGACTGCCTGGGGTGGACACTTAGTGCCTCCCACCTCCCTCCCAACCTGGGGACAGAAGCTGCTGGGGGAGGCCTCAGTCTACAGCTGTACATGTATGTCCTGGCTCGGTCCCTTGGCCTCTTTCAACTCTGATTATGCTGCTTAGGAAGTCCCTGTTCACCATCAGGGCCAGGTAGGGAGAGCTCAGGACAGCTCAACCCCAGGGCCAGTGGGTGTGGGCATGTGTGGGAAGGGAGCATTAGGTGCCTGTCCTCTGCAACGGAACGGTGAAGTGGCAACTCCAATGCTCAGGAGCCCAGACCAAGGCAGGCGTGGCCAGGTCATCAGGTCCCAGGCTGGATGGCGTGAGCTGCAGGCTGGCAGGCTGGGTGAGCAGCAGAAAGGGGCTGAAGCCAGATGCTGAGCTCCGTCCACATTTATAGGGAGAGGGTTTGCCATCAGAGGCCTTAGGTCTAGAACTTGAACTATAGGTCCCAAGAGGCCAAGTGCTATTCCCATGCTGTGGTGCTGTGTGACTTCAGGCAATCAGCTCAGCCTCTCTGTGCCTTCATCTATAAAACAGCACCCTTCACTTATCTATACAAGATCTGAATTAAAGGTCTTATATGCCCTCACAAAGGAAGGGAAAAGTTTTACAAGCCATATACTTTGGTTAAGCCCAAGTCAAGGTTCTCAATCCAAGCTCATTGGAGCAAAGCTTCAACCAGGACTGTTCCAACCCTGTTTTGTCAGTTCGTGCTTCTGAATCAAGATTCCACTTGGTGAATGGGTCCCCCCCCAAAAAGACACTGAAAACCACTGCTGGAAGTCCTTTTAGAGGAGTATTAAGAAATGGTAAGACTGTGGATCTGGAGCCCAGCCACGGGGCTTTGGAGCCTGGCTCTGATATTTACTGGCTGTGTGACCTTGGAAAAATTACTCAACCTCTCTGAGTTTCTGCTTCTCCTGTAAAAGGGTTGATCTGAACCACACCTGCACCTCCCTGGTTGTAACAGGGTGATTATGTGGAGAACACCCAACAAATGTCAGCTGCTTGTTACACTCTGGCAATTTCTGGTTGGAAGGGACAGAGCCGCTGGGAAACCTCTCCCTGGCTCTGTCTTTCCAAGTTGCTTCCAGGACTCCCACTGCTTGCAGGCAGCAGAGGGAGATTTAGATGGCAGCACAGAGGGGCTCACGTCAGCACACATACCGACCAACACAGAGGCGTTCACCCTCAGCACAGGTGTACCTTCAGACCCAGGTCAAGGTAAAGGATGAAAACAGAGCAGGGCTCACCTCCCTCAGGACGAAGAAAGACAGGAGACAGAGAGCAGACTAGCCTGACAGCAACCTCTGAGGAAAGTTACTAATTGCTGCCTTGTCATTTGTGGCTTTTCAAGTCAAAATGGGGGAAAGTTTTGGAAAATTTTAAGCACGTCTTTTTTCTTTCTTTGTATTGCTAGCTGGGGTTATGCCGCATGCAGTGACCCCAAACTCCCACAAGAGGTCACACTACACAGAGATGTCCCCTAAGCCTCCCGTTGGAACAGCCTCCTGCCAGGGGAGAAAGGACCAGGACCCCATCGTCACATCTAGTCGGCAAAACATGACACTCTCGAGGACAGTGGACTCAGTGGCCCCCCAGATGGAGGCAGTGGCTCTGTCTGGCACGAGGTGACCCAGCCCCATCTCCCCCTACCCGCCTTGGCTCTGTACAATCAGAAGAGCTCAGCCCCACTGGGGCAGAAGGAAAAACAGCCCCAGTTCAGAGACTCCCGGGGGACACGAAAGGCAGCAGAAGCCTGGAGAACACAGCCCCACCCTCATGTTGCCGTGCGGCCTCCTGTCTGCCCTCCTGTAGCGAGGTGATTAGCAGAAGGTAACAGCCCTCTTCTTACTCCCAATTCCCTGCTGAGTTTTTCCATTTTAAAATAAAATATTTCAAAGAAATGTGAGGAAGATGCCGCCGCCAGTCTGTCTTCAGGCACGTGTCTCCCATGCTGACATTGGGAAATGGGAGTGGCTCCGGTCGATAGGGCCACTGATCCCAACAGGACCCTCCACGTGGACCCCCTAGAGCTGCTCCAGCTGCGGTCATTTCCAGTGACTCCTGTGTGTCGCTGCTCTGCTGACACGTGCAGAGTTCAAAACAAGCAGCCTGCAGGGATGCAGGACCATGCTCCACAGAAGGGCCTGGACACAGCAGCAAAGCTGGCGGCAGAGAAGTAAGTGGCATGCTGGAGGGCGTGGCTCTGCTCCCCCAGGAAGCAGGCCTGCTCGCGGGCCCAGGAGGTCACCATGGCTGACAAGTCTCCTTCAGCGTCCCTGACATGGCAGGACACAGCAGAGGGCAGCGCTGCGTAGGGTGGGGACCACTGTCCTGAGTGCTTGTCTTGTTTCTTAGTCCTACAGAAAACCAGGGTCTCCTGTGACCACTGGTGTCAGGATCAACAGAGGAAACAGATGCTTCGGCTCCTCACATGCCACCGCACAAGCTCTAGCTCTTAAAAGCAGATACACCTGAAGCTCCGCCTTCTGCCACCATGTGACCAGTGCCTGTAAGTGACATTCCCGGGCATACTTTTAGCTTTTTACCACACATGAATTGATAAAAATTAAATGTTGTTTTTACATTTTACATAAATATGAGGGGGTCTTCAAAATGTTCATGGACAGATCTGGATTATCTTTTTATTTTTCCATGAACTTTTTGAAGTACCCTCGTATCCTATCATCTCTCTTGTTTTAATCAACATTTTGAAATGTAACAACAGGACACACAGACCCGACCCCTCGGTCTCTGCCCGAGAAACTAGTTCATCCAGCTCCTCACCCATCAATGGGCTGTGGATGCTTAGACGCTTCTGATCAGTTCCTGTCCTAACAATGCTGCAGCGAACATCTTGCAGCGGCCCATCCCCCTGCCCTCGAGCTCCCCCAGGTGGTCACCTCAGGGTGGGACTGCTGGCTCCTGAGGTTTGCGTCTCAGCCCCACAAGCTGGGACCAGCTGTTCCCTAAACAGCTGCCCAGTCTGCGTCCCCTGTGCCACTGCAAACACTTGGCAAAATCACACTTGCTGATTTCTGCCAACTGATGACTTAGTTTGACTGCATTTCCATGGAAAACATCCTTTTTCTAAAAAATCCGAGTTAATAGTATTAATTAGCAAAAGTGACTCCTGGGGAGACCAGGATGAGAATATGAGGCACTGTTACTTGCTACGTTAAATATGTGAATCTTTTACATGAACTCATTACTTAAGTAAACAGAAAAGGGAGTGGGGAAGGAGATCCTCAGCTCACACGCCTGGCTACGAGCAGTCCCTGCCCTCATCCTGGTCTCAGAAAATGCAGACTCACTTTGATTTTAGCCTGAGAAAGTCCGCAGTGGCCCCCACCCCCTCGGAGTCACTGGGGGGCACATATGCCCAGGTCAAATGGAAGGACACGGGGACCACCCATCCTCTGGGTGCCACTGAGTCACTGAAACTCCATCACTGTGGGGAAATGCATGGCTCCCGGGCCAGCCCTCCCAGGGTGGACAGCTGTGGTGCTCAGGCCCCCTCCTTCTGAATCACATCCCCAGAGAAACGAGTCACAAAGTACACAACATGGTTTCAAAAACAAATTTATTCAAAACTGAAAGGAGAAACACAACCACACAGATCCCAGGTGGTGACACCCGGCCCCAGGCATAGAGTAGCTGCTCCCAGGGTCCTCCCTGCTTGTTGGCCCTGGGCACACCCGAGCTGACAATGAGTGGCTGCAACTCCCACTGCAGGTGTCATCTTTATCAGTCAAGGGCTTGGAGGAGTTCAAGATTAAATAGTGTCTAAGTGTTTCTCTTCTCCAAGTAGTGATCTCAAAAAACCAAAAGCAGAATTATGCTAAAAAAAAAAAAAGATTCTGACCCCTGTACATGTTCTGGCTGGTCTTCCTGTGAATACAGAAAGGATCCAGATGAGCAAGCGCCTTCCTGCCAGTGCCTGCCTGTCACTGCTTGGCACTAGCCCCCGAAGGCTGGCCACACAGGCGACTGGGTGGCGAGCCACAGTGCTCAGTACCACGGCACAGCCACTCCCATTCAAAGTGCCACATGGAGCTTCTCCTGCTTTCCTCTACTCTCATTCTGAAGACACACAGGCACATCACACTGTTGACCTCCCCTAGAAATAGAGACAGAGAGGCTACTCTGTGTTCACACTGGGATGGATAACACAGTGGGGAGTTTCATGCCCAAGCTGGGTGACGGTTACCTGAGCACAGTCCCACAGCACCCTCAAGAGTCAGAACATGATGGCAGCAAGCAGAACAGAGAGGGTCCCCACAGCCCAGCTGCTGTGCTCAGAGCCTTGTGCCACAAACCACATGGCTCCATGTGTCCCATGCACACACGACTCCATGGTCATGAGGAAGAGGAGGACATGGGCTTGGGAAACTCAAGTGACTGGGACTTCATGAAATACCAAAGGGACTGAGTCGGGTTTTGTTCCTCCCCATTACTGTATGTGGGCTCTAAAAACTGACCTCATGGTGGGCAACACACAAATGAGAACAAGCCCCTGAAGAATTGGGGGTACTGAGAGCCCACTGCCTAGCGTGCAAACCACTCAACTTGTTCTGCGTGACGTCGAGTATGCAGGAGCCCGGCAGGGCATCTGGATAGAGGATGGCCACTGCTCAGCTCCCCTCCCTCGTTGCTTGCCAAGTGGACTTGCTAGGGACGCAGACATCAAGATCTGAGTGGGGAAAAGAGGAGCAGGACACTGCAGAGCTGCAACTAGACTGAAGGGCCGGACGAGGGCAGGAAGGGTGGCCACAGTTTGGAATAGGGAAAAAGGTGCTTGAAACTCTCCTGCCACGAGGCCTCCAAGGCTACTCACACTCAGCAGTAGATGTTGGAGGTCTGAGCCCAGATGGGCCGATATATCCCAATCCTGCAGGCCCTTATTATGTGGCCCCAAAATAAAGTCATCTGCAACATACCCATGCACATGAACACTAGGCCCCACACAGCAGCATCTCCAGCAACTTGCATCTGAAATCTTCAAGCCCATAATTTGCAAGCAAACAGCACAGAGCAGAGCGTTAAGCATGTGGAGATGCGCCGAGTTGGGCCGCTGCAAACTGTGACAGGCGGTGGTCCAGCCTCAGGGCAGCCAGACGGCAAAGGGCAAAGACAGGGAAAATCCCAAAGACCCTCCCAGGTCCAACCGCCACCTTCCCCAAATCAAGCACCTTATGGGCTCAGCCATTCCCTAAACTGGGTTACTTAGGTTCCTCCTGAGAACCTGTTTTATCAAAATCCTGGTCACTTCTATGCCTCTGATGGTGACATCAGCCTTCTCAGATAGTCACTGTGATGAGTGAGCTGATCAGAAGCTGAGGAGTCTGCGGATGCACTCTACTGTAAGGGACGCCTGCTGGTGTCTCCGTGGCACACACAGAATCTGTGACTGTCCCTGCACACTGTCCCCACTGAGCTGGAACCAAGAACTGGCTGAGGACATATCAGTGTGGAAAAAACAAGACACGTACTCTGAACGACTTGCATGTCCTCGCAGTCAGGAGGGACCAGCTGTGCAGACTACAAGACCATGCCTTCCTGGCTGCACAGCTGTCTGATCTGCCTGGCATTCCCACAGGCCACCACCAGCCAGACAGACACATGGGCTCTTACCTCCCCACCCAACACCAGAGCCAAGGGCCATGTGAGTGGCCAGCAGCCCACAACTTAGTCATTATTAGTGGGAACCGTCTACATGCCCAACACTAGAAGCAGGTTACATATTAGATTTGAGAGGTTTTTTTAATCAGAAGTACTCATCTTCAATCAATGTGCTCTGTACAGTGCTAAGGAGATGACTGCACGGAGACCAGTCCCTCAGAGCGAGCCTCACACTCCTGGAAAAAAATGTGTTTTCTTGATTTTACTTCAACAGCAGTGAAACTTAAAGAGCAACAGCCCACACGCCCAGCTGTTGTGGGTTTTCACTGTCCGTGAGGCTTCGCAGCTGTGGTCAGCATCACTCGGGAACTGCCTCATTTGGCACAAGAGGAAAAGAGCCACAACCAAAGAGGGGAGGGAATGACAAAGCTTTTAGGCCAATCCTGCAAAAGACGCAAGAAGCTGGGACCCAGCCCTCGACCGCACTGCAGGTCCTGCTGCAAGAATCAGGGAGGCGAACTGCAGGCGTCACTGGCACAGCTCGATCCACCTTCTCCTCCTGCCTCTTTCCTGAGTCTTGACAGAACCTCCTGGAAGGGTCGGTTTGCCGTTTGGGGACCTGCCACAGAGCTTGTCAATTCTCTGATTCTGAGAAGCAAACTAAGAAGTTGCCAAATGTACTGAAGCTAGGGAAACGGGTTTGTTGTTTTTTTTTTTTTAAAGGCCAGTCAGGGAGCAATTAACCAGGAAAATGTTTCAGGCGACATCCTCAAGTTGGTCTCTATACAAAGGCACCACAAGACTGTCACCTTCCTGGGGTCCCTCACCAGCAGGATGAGTCCTAAGTACCTGGCACGAGGGCTTGGAGCAGTCCAGCCAACAGGGATACACAAGGCAGAGGGAAGACACATGCCACGGAGTCCACACAGGGACTGACCTAGCTGCAGGCTGGAGCGGGGGCTGACTGTGCACTGTGGTCTCTGTCCTTCAGGAGATACTAACACCAGCCAAGATCTTAGACAGAGGTCCCCCAATGCAGGTGCTAGCACAGCATGGAGCATCAGTACTTGGGGTCCCCAGCAGACCCTGGTGTCCAGAGTGTGCCTCCATACATAGGTGTGACTTCTCTAGAAAGCTGTCCTCTCACCTGCAGAGGGGCTTCAAAGTCACTGTGTGCAACCACTTCTGACGCTGGAACACTTCCCAGAACTGCACCTGTGTAAACCACTCAAGTGAAACCAATGCAGGGGTCATTTCAGACATGTGACCTGGAGACTTGCATTCTGGAACAAGTGACTGGCAGCTCACGGTTTTGACAGCAGAGTGTGTGCAGGGAAGAGTGGAGGGAGGAGGCATGTGCAAGACAAACGCCCTTTCTGCAACTGGCTGTTGGGGACAATCAAGTGGCTAGAATGATGGCCTTGGCTCCAAAGCCAGAAAAAGAAGCCAGGGCTACCAGGGGAGACCAGGGCCAGGTTAGCATTCACAGGACTTTTCCTAGCAATCCGTATCGGTAACCCCATTTCACTAATAGAGAAACCGAGATCAGTGTTAAATGCTTTTGTCCAAAATCCAAGCGAGTCAGTAGAGAAATGGGAATTCAATCCATGATCCCAACCCCAACCCTGATACTCCATCGACTTCCAGGAGCTCCTTTCCAAGCACACTGTCTCGTCCACACCTGCCCAGACTGAACTGTTCATCCTCCTGATCACCTCTCAGAACACAGCTGCTTGGCCCCCTCCAGAGGGAACCTCTCACACAAAACCAGTTCTATCCACTCAGGGGAAAAGGATTCTGACTGTGACAAAACTTCCCTGAAGGAGGATCATTTTCCCTAAAAAACTGCCAGCAAGCCAAAGACACGCACAATTTCTTCAGCCCCATTCCCTACGTGTCCCTGTAGCCGTCCCTCCACAGTAGTTCTGTTCTGGTTCATTCTTTTCATTTCTTTTGGCAAGACATACTCAGCTTTCTCATTACGGCTACTGACAAATACACAAGTGCATGTTACACACTACAGGTACAGTGCTTCAGGGTTGCCAGGCTGGGACCCCTGACAAGAAGGTGTGCGTGCTGGTAAAAAGCCTGTATTTGCAAAGTGCATGCTGCTTCTCTTCACAGAGTCCAGAGCCCCGGAGCCTCCCGTGGCAGAGCCTGGCGGTCAGGAGGTAAGGGACTGAATATTCTTGAGCATCTCGTCGAAGGCCTGTGGGGATGGTGCATCCGCGTTCCGGAAGGTGGCCTGGACCCGGCTGTATAGGCTGAAGGACTTCAGCTCCAGCCAGATGAACCCGAAGCGATCCTCGTCAAACAGGATGAAGACCCCAGGGGTGCGCTCAGGGCTGGTGAAGCCGTGGCCAGCGATGAGGCCTGTGCCATAAAAGCTGGGGAGACAAGAGGGAAAGCATGGGCGGGGAGAGGGTGCTGAGAGGGCATGTGCTGGCCTGAGTCTAGCACATGCCGCACTTGCTGTTCTAGAACACTTCATGCCACGTGAGCTCCTCCCACCATTTACTAGCAACAACTGAGAATTGGCAGGGATGACGTCCAAAGAGGCCTGTCCTGTAGGGGCAGCTCAAAGGCCACCAACTGACCCTCCTAATGGCAAGCACAGCCCACCAGATGCACAGGCCCTGGGCTCCAGGCAGCTGGGGAGATGGGCACTTCCTTGTAGAGCACAGAAGCGGGGCACTGGGATTCCCCATATGGCCGAGCCCGCCTGCTAACGGCACCCACTATCAACTCCCCCGACTAATACAAGGGGCCTCCACAAGCTGCCCGAGAATTCTGTTCTAGAGTATACATCTTCAGATACAGCACGCCAGTGTGACCAAATCTTAATTTCTGGATAGTTATGTCATCACACAAACAATTCCAATACAAGACTTGGTCTACAACTGATGTTTCTCAGAAAGTAGAACTTCCAAATACCCACTATGGCTTTGAGACAACATTAGACTGAACACACTTAGGTCTTTCGTACAAAGAACTAAGGGTTTCCCACAGATGATGGCAGTTAGGAGCTGGCCCGGAACTTCCCAGTGGTAGGATGGCGCCCAGGACCTACACCCCCACCCCAGCCACACTGAGGCTCCACTGGGCCTGAGAGGGGAGAGGGCAGCTCCATGGCCCAGGGCTGTGCCTCAGAGTTTCTTTAGAGGGAAGACCACAGCCATAGGCAGCAAAGCAGTGGCCACTGCAATCAGGAAAAAGCCCACGCACACAACAAAGCCCTACAGACAGACGAACTGCACAGTGAAGGGCCACGCCACACCTTTCCCAGGTGACTGAAGCCCGACATTCAGCACAGGGTGGAGAACTGTCCTTTACCTTAGCTGGGGAAAGGAACAGACACAGCTTCCCAGCCAGCTGGGAAGCCAGCCATCTTACCAGCACATGCTGCTGAGCTGCGAACAGGCTCTGAGCTGCCTGTGAGGTATCGGGAGTGTAAAATTTTTATAGTGATAACAAAGCTTTTTTGTTTTATGGCCATTCAAAAATGTACAGCAGTCGATATTACACTGCAACACAATTTGTATGCCTCCCTCTATAAAACCCAAATTCAGTCACTGTTGTAATTGCATAATGTGAAGAAAACATGGTGAATTTTCCCAAGCCCAGTCTGGAGGTGTAAATCCCCTCCAGGAGCTTGGTGTGTAGCACACGTTCCGCTCCATGGCATCGGGCTTATTGGGCAATGCCAACTAGACCATCGTGGGCCAGTGACAGCAATCTCCCAGAGGCAAAAGGAAAGTCACATACAACTTGGCAAGGCAGAAATGAATCTCCACGATTCCAGACACTGACAGACTGACGCTCGAGGGCAGCTGTCCAGCAGAACCCTCTGCAGTGACCAAATGTTCTAGAGCTGTACCATCCAACCCAATGGCCATCAGCCATGTGTGGCCATTCAGCACTTGAAATGAGGCTCACCCAACTGAGGACCTGGATTTCCCATTTTATTCTATTTTAGTTAACTTAAACGTAAACCTAGATGGTAGGGGACTGGGGCAAGGGCCTCACTCATCTGCCAAGGAACGACCTGAACAGCCAGGGCAGGCCGACATCTCCCAGGTCAGCAGCCCACACTCTGCAGGGAGAGCCAGCGGTGACCCCCACCCCTTCCACACACTGTCCAGGCTGTGCTCACTTCAATGGCCCACAAGGTGCCGGCCAGCGCAGCCAATGGGCAAAGAGTGGAAAGGAGTGAGAGAGGAGGGGAGCCCGGCAGGAAACGCAGGACGCCCAGGCAAACCACAAACTCGGGTTTCCCGTGGGGGAGGGTGGGGAGAGGGCTTTGCTCTTCGTTTTCTACTTTTCAAAGCTACTTGATTAACTACAAATAAGCCACTGCAGAAGCTATCGCTAGAGCTACTCGTTTGTGCAACAGACAGCACTTGGAGGAGCCCTCGGGTCCTGCTCACGTGCTGGGGACTCAGACCAAGTCACCAGAGGCTCCCCCAGAACTCAAGAGCCCCGCCCTCTGTGAGAACCTTGGCCGCCCCCCGCCGCCCAGCCGCGCCCTTACCACATCCTGCAGGCACGGGGATAGTCCTCGTTCCTCGAGCTCACGCCAACAGGCAACACGAACGGCTGAGCCTCCCCAGATGGGGCAGGCTGCTGGGCCACAGCTGCTGCACCATCCCCAGCTGATGCCCCATCTGGCCCCCTGGCCAGCAGCTCCCCTCGGGGCTGGGCAGGACCTGGCTGCAGCTCCCCAGCCTCATGCCCGCCTTCCTGCTGCTGCTGCTCCTGGCGCAGCTGTTCGCGGACCTCCAGGACAATCCGAGAAAGCTCATTGAAGTTGCCAAGGGTCTCAACATCGGGCAGATGGATGCGGTGCCTCAGGTCTACCTCCACCGTCTGCTGCCCAGCAGGGATGTTGGGGTCACCCTGCAGAGTGAGCGGGCACCGGGGCTCAGAGACAGCAGAAACCCCTACACGCTCTCCAGCCCAGATTCCACCTCCGACCTCCAGCTCTCCCCCTTATTTAGTGGCAATCCCTTACAAAGTAAGAATGTTCTAGAAGCTCTTAAAAAATTAGCACCTAGAACAGGCAGATCTTTCTGCAAAGGGGCCTTCTATGACAGGGAACTATGGCACTTGCGAGTGACTTACGAGGACACACATGTGCTCACCTGCATCAAGCCCCTTCCCAGGTTGGGCAGCAGGGCAGGAGCCTGAGCGGCAGCCCAGATCTACGTGCCCAGACAGCACAGCTCCTGAGCCCAGGAAGATCCTCCAGCCCTGAGTCTCCAGTCCCCACTCTCTCGTGGATCCAAAACCCCTGGGGAGAGTGGGTGGCAAGAACACCCCACACTGCCAGATGGGGCCCTGCTTCTGGGCTCTCCCTCCCACAAGGATCTTTGCCAAAGTGGAAGGACCACCAGACAAACAGGAGGCCCAGAAAAGAGGCTCTGGGCCTTCAGGACATGCCAGTGCTATCTGCCAGAAACCGACCCATAACTATGCAAATGATGGCAGGCACAGTGTGATGGTGGCTCCAGCACTGGGCAATGAGCGCCTGCTTGTGGCAGCTCCACTCAGGGCCCAAGACAAGGGCTCTCCCACGAGGCTAATGGCACAGCCCACCCTTGTATGCTTCTCAGGAGCTGCCAAAGCCACGACATGTGGCAGGGGTTGTGTCTCCCTGTCGGTGTCACCTGGCCAGCTTAGAGACATCCTTCCCCAGGCCACCCCCAATTAAGTCAGAACCTCTGGGGTGGGGCCTGGCATCCATGTTTCCTAAACTTCCCAGGGGCTTCAGGATTGGCCTGGGCTGAGCGCTGGGATGGGAAAGCCACCTTGGATACACACGAACACCCCGGGGTCTTGTGAAAACACAGATTCTGGCTCTTCGGGGCTGGGTGGGGCCAAGAATCTGAGTCCCCAAGGCCCTGGATGCTGGGGTGTTGAGGCTGCCATCCGTGCCCCCATCTGAGGAGCCAGGCTGCGGCACATCCTCATTCGCTTGAGTCCCACGACTCCACAGCCAACAATCTGATGGAGCCACACAGTGCCATCCTCACCAGGCGGCCGCAGACAGCATGGTGGCTGCTTACCGTGATCTTGGTGCCCCTAGCGCGCCTGCCATGGAAGCTGAGCATCACGATCTCCAGGCCGTGGCTGCCATAGGTGCCCTTGAAGAGGCCGGGCTTGATGAGGTCATCCGGGTGGCTGGGCGGGAGGTAGATCCGGCGATAGGTCAGGCAATTGCTGCGAGGGGAGCAGGCTGTGTCAGCACAGGAGGTTTGGCTCAGAGGCAGGCATCCCAGCACACCCGGCACCACCAGAGGACTTGACAGAACTCAGCACCAGCGCAGAGCTTTGTTGGGAGGGAAGGGACACACCTCTCTTGCTTCACTGCCCTGGGGCAAGAGCCCACATCACTGATGAAATGCTGCCTGAGGCCTAAGCAGGGTCCAAGGCTGGGGCCAGGAGAGAGGCTGAAAGCCAGGCCTCCAGGGCTGAGCTGGCTTGGACATGCGTGCCCAGCCCCTACCATGTCTGTGCTGGTGGCGTCAATAGGACACAGGCAAGGTGGGGAGTGGGAGAGAGGGACTGCACTCACTCGTACTGACTGGTGTAGATGAACTTCATCAGTATCAGCTCCTGCATGTGCTCGTGGAAAATATCCTCCAGCGTGCGTCCCCACTCCTCCCTCAACCACGTTCGGAACTCCTTGCAAAGGAACACAGGTCATGAAAGTAACCATGATGCCATACCAGTTTGAAGAGACTGTTGGCCATGATGCTGAGTGGACCTATGCCAAAGGGGCCCTCCTGGGGCGGAATGAGGACTGTGCTGGGTAAGAAAAAGGGGGACGCCAAGCGTTTCGGAATCCTTGACCGTGGAGGGTCACCCATGAAGAGCAGGGCTCCCTTCACTCCTCGCTTTCTGGGGTGCACAGGCCGACTCCTGATGGGAAGCAGCCAGGCGGGGGCCACAGCCTGTGTCTAGAGTCCCAGGACTGCCCAGCGGGTGGAGAGAAGCAGTGTCTGCACTGACCTAGCGTGACAATGCACAGACAGACCCTGAACCTGAGAGAGGCTGAGCACAGCGGGACACCTCGTCACCAACCCACATGCCGGGCAAGTCAGCCAGGGCCATCTTCTGTGGCTGCCAATGAGGAACACGGGCTGACACAGCTGGGGCAGAGACAACGGGAGAATTTGCTACAATGTGCCTTCGTAGTTATGCCATATGTTCAGTAAGTGTACATAAAAGGGAATTTTTATAAACACCACTTCCCCAAATCCCAATAATTCATTATGCATTTTGAAATCAAACAATGCTAAGGGTTTTTATGCTTAATAGTTTGATTCTACATAGTTAACATAATTTATCCAGACCTCTGAGTTCCTAACTCAATGTAGTTTTTCTAAGATTATCTAGAATTAAGCTTTACAAACTGAAGCAAAAGCAATTTGACAAAGAAATCACTGCAGTGATTGAACCAAACAACTCTAAGCAAAGTCAGTATACAGAAATCAACTGAATTTTTATATACTAGCAGCACAAAATTGGAAAATGAAAAAAAAAATTTTTTTTTGGCAGCTGGTCAGTACAGGGTCCTTGGTGTTATAACACTGTGCTCTAACCAACTGAGCAAACCAGCCAGCCCAGAACATGAAATTATTTATATTCTATTTACAACATCTTCGAAAAACACAGGACTTAGGAATAAATGTTACAATATATGTGTAAGACTTCTATTCTAAAAACCATAAATCACTGCTGAAAGGAAGTAAAGAAGACCTAACTGAATACATCATCAGAGATGCCATGTATCATTAAGACAGCAACTGTCTCCCAGTTATCTGCAAGTTCAATATCGTGCTGACTATAATCCCACCAGGCATTGTGCAGAAACTGACAAGCTGATTCTGAGAGTCATGGAAATGCGAGGAACATAGACACACCAGCAACCTTGAAGGAGGGGAACAGAGGTGGAGAACACACCAGCACATGCCACGACCTGCTGTCAAGCTAGTCATCAATATGGTGGTATGAGCAGAAGACAGACAGATACATCAGTGGAACCAGACAGCCCGGAAGCAGACCCATGTCGATCTAGCTCAGTGGTTGTCAACAGAGATGCCCAAGCCACCCAATGGGGAAAGGAAAGTCTTCTCAACAAATGGTGCCCAAAAAAACTGGATTCCCATGTGGAGAAACACAAGCCATAATGCTTATACAGAACACCACACACGGGGAGTAACTCAAGATGGGTCACAAACCTGAACATAAAGTGAAACCTACCAAACTTCTATTAAAAACTGAGGGCAGACTAAGTTTTTAAGGCACAGGAAACAATAGTGATAAAAGGAAAAATGTGACAAATTATACTCCATCAAAACTAAAACCTTCCATTAAAGTAGCTGAATTTATGGTGGAAAGGCTCTAAAAAAAATCAGACAGATAAATAACAGATAAAAATGAAAGGAATGAATATAATGAAAGATTTCCATGTTTCCATGGTGAGTAATTAGATTCCAACTAAACATCATCAAAAGATGACTTGTGCACAGTCAGATTTTACTCGCCCTGCAGGAAGAAGTCAGTCATTAGGAGTACCAACCAAGCCAATTACTCAGAAGGAAGATCTCTGAAGTATGTTCATTACAAAATTATCTTACAAGGTGTATAAACACAAGAGAAGAAGCAGGGCATCTGGAACACGTAAGACAGCCATAAACGGAGTGTTTACCAGGGCTCACTCCTGGTGTGCTTGGCCCTTGACAATCCCCACCTTCATCTTCACACAGCCCTGCGAGGTGGGAGAGGGGCAAGGGCACCTGGCGGCCTCTGGGGGGACACTGGCAGGCTCTGGTGGTGTGGAACATCCTTCCTACTCTCGTTCCTATCTCTGCTCTTACGTGTAGCCCCTAGATTCCCAGACGCCTCCGTCTGGGGGGAGGGGTTAGACTGGCAAGGGCGGAAAGGAAGATGGTGGCTGGACCCTGCCCATTGCCTGGGAAGAAAACGCCAGGCAGTGTCTGCACCAGGGCGTCAGATGCTGGGGGTCTGGGTTGGGGAGGGTCATCAGGCTATGCTCCCTGTGTGAAGCAGACAGTGGGCTGAAGACAAGTGCTGGAGAGAAAGGAAGGAAGACCTGTGAGTAGGAATCTGACTGCATACAGAGAAGATCAGAGGCTCAAAGAGAAACCAACAAGAAAAGGAAATGGAACAAGGAAGGGCTGGAGGCCCCAGGTGGGCCTGGGGATGGCAGAGCCCTGGCCAGCAAGCGGGGCTGACAGGCTGGGAAGAGGCACATCAGAGCTCCTGGGGGTCCTGCCCCATGCAAAGGGCGTTACTAGCCCAGCCCAGACAAAATGGAAAATGTCAACATCCCAATTATGACAGGACACAGAGAGCTGCCCAGAGTGTGACACCAGGACAGGCTGGACACGGGCCAGAGCCAAACCCACATCTCAGTGGCTCAAAACAAGAAGGTTCTTCCTTGTGGCTTCTAGCCTGCATGGGGTCCTCCCTACATGGAGTCCGTGGAACTCCCAGGTCAGCCCATGCTTCCTTCTACAATGGCCAAGCAAAGCTGCCATGCTCTGGGGAGATCACACAGGCCACTAAAGGCTCCATCTAGAGGTGATACCATCACTCACACGTGACCTCCTTGGAAAGCCAACCAGAGGCAGCACCTCACCTCAGGGAAGAGGGAAGGATGGACCCCACCAGGCACGTGGAGGCAGAACTGGAAGTCCTGGTAATAAGTGTTCATGCTGAGCACACCATGCTGGACTCTGTGCTCCACCCCTCAGGAAACCCTGGGCCAGGAGGCTGTACCAGCCATGTTGCCTATCTAATTTAACTCTCTTAAAATTATTCCGAGGCCTAGAAAGAAAAGAAAGGTGCTATGGTTTGAATGTGTCCCCCAAGTTCATGTGCTGGAAACCTGACACCCAATGCAGAGGTGCTGGGAGCTGGGACTTTTAAGAGGTAATCGATGCCACTATGGCAGGAGGGAGCCCTGAGAAGAGGAGTCTGGCCCTTCTCGTGCCTCTCTCATCCTCTCTTCCCCTTCAACCTTCCACCACAGGACGACGCAGCAAGAAGGCCCTCGCCAGATGCCAGCCCCTCAATCCTGGACTTCCCAGCCCCCAGAACTGTGAGGAAACAAACTTCTGTTCTTTATAAATTACCAAGTCTGTAGTGTTTGTTGTAGCAGCACAAAACAGACTAAGACAAAAGGCTTCCCAGTCCTGAGAAGCTTGCAGGAAATGGCTACTAAAATCAAAAATAGGCCAATCTCATTCATCAATGCAAAAAGCCTAAATAAAATATTAGCAAACAGCATCCAGCATCACAGAATGAATCACACACCATGATCAAATGAGATTTTTTCCCAAGACTTCAAAATGGTTCTATTAATCTAAGTCACTAGATTAACGGGGAGGAAAAAAACACTTTATGGTTTTCCTAGATGTTTTATCAAAAAATTGGTAAATTTAGAATCTATTCTCAATTAAAACACAAAGTCTCTTAATGAAACATGTACACACTAACATAATAAAGTGTGTACCCTAACCCCAAAGACGTGGTGATGCCTAATGGCCAATATACCACATGAACCACACCCCTAAAGGTAAGAACATGACAAGGTCACCCATTATTGTCACTGTTTTTAACACTGCTCTGGAGATAGAAACTAATACAATTCACAAGGGGTCAATAATAAAGATATGAAAATTGGAAAGGAAGACGTAAAATATCATTATTTGCAATAATGATTATTACCCTGGAAAACTCAAGATAATCAGTTGAAAAATGATTACAAATGAAAGCAAATTCAGAAGAATGGGTGAGTGCCATATCAACACACAACAGCTTTTATATATAAAATCACCAGCTGGGAGACAAAATGGTAGATTAGAGCTCATTTACAAGAGCACTAAAAAGACAAACTACAGGTACATATAAAGAATATGCTTTGTAACAAATGTGGAATCTACCTGAAGAAAACACTAATGCCCCACTGAGGAATACAAAATCTGTCTGAACAAGCAGAGAGGTACACAGCGTTCTTAGATGGGTGGTCCCCACATCACACAAATGTCAGCCGATCCATAAGTGTGATGTGCTTCCAATGAAAAGAAAGGACACCAGGAGGATGTTCCTGGGAAACAGATAACTCTAGAGTTCCTATGGAAAAATAACAAGCACGATGAGCCAGGAGAAATTCTGAAATAGTTAGAACAGGAATACAGGCAGCCTAGTTCTCCCTTATAAAACACAGTGATAAAGCTACAAAAATGAGAATGGTATGGCGCCTGCATATAGACAGACGTACCAAGGATCAGAATACCAAGTCCAGAAACAAACCAAATACATCTGGCAGTTTAGGACAAGGTGTCATTTCAAATAGATAGAGAAAATCTGGATGACTGAACACCCAGTGCTGGGATACCTGAGCAGGGCACAAAAGCAGAGTCGGACCCAAACCTCACACTTGATACCAGCATAAACCTAAAAGAGCCAAAGACCTGAATGTGAAGAAACAAAACCACACAAATAAAAACATGAGCTCAAATGTAAACATAATATCAGAATTGAGAAGGGATGTTAAGACAACACTAAACCAAGAGGCTATTAAGAAGATAGATACACCTGATCACATAAAAATCGAAAATAAAAAAATCTCATGGATGAAAACCACCATAAGACAAGTGAAAAGACAAAAAAATGAATGAGGAAAGAAGATTTGCAACTCACACCTGGCAGGGTTCATTTTCCTAATAGATAAAGAGCTCCTACACATCAGTCAGAAACCTAGCACCACTAAAGATGAGGAGGGCAGGGCATCAGCACACGTATCACTGGAAGGGGACCACAGAGCACTCGTGGACACAGGGCACCACTCTTAGCCTCCACATGATAAAAGAAACATGAATTAACCACCAATGTCAAGACTCCAACAAAGCATTTATTCTCACCTTAACTTTCAGGTGTTTTTCTAGCTTCCACAGGAGCACATGTTACTACATTGATAACCAGGAAAAATTCTAGTTCTATTTCATTTCAAAATCAGTGAGTTTGGACACAGAAGCTGGCTTACAGGAACTTTTTCTGACCTCAAAGTATGTATCACACTAGAAATATATGGTTTTCTTTTTTAAGGTCTCAACAGCTGACGAGTTTGTATTCTTAGAAAATATGTTGACATTCTTCACTCGAATATGAACAACAGCAATCACACATACGTTGTATAAACGACTGTATATAAAATCAAATTTAAAATGACAGTGTTACAAACGAAAACAGCATGTCTATTATTTACACGTTCACATGCCATCTACACAGGGAACAAGGACCTCGTTTACCTTCACAGGATTCCAGAAGTACACACATTCTGTCATCTTAACTCTGTGTTTTTCTGGCTAATGGGGAAACCACCACAAACTCAGAAACTGGCTACACAACATACACCCAACAAATCTTGTATTTTACAAGTAAAGCTCTTCTTGAAAATATTTCTAAATACCAGTACATCTTAGATCCTCAGAAAACTATCAAAGGTCATGTAAAGTTACTCGTGCAAACAGCAGGAACCCCACAGGCAGGCTTACCCACTGCAGTGCCGCGATCTAGAAACCCCAACCACAGAGCCCATTCTAGGGAGAACACAGAAGCTCTGAATACACAGCCCTCTGGGTCTCCCTGCAGCTCACACCCCAGCAGAAGCCCCCAGCAGCCCTCAGCAAACGGATGCTCCCATCAAAGTGGCAAAAGAGAGCGAGTGAAAGAAACGACTTCCATTTGACTCATTCGTTCTGTGGGGTGCAGCACCAACAGCCCGTGCTCGTGTGCACACCACCACTCAATGCTGCTTCTAGAAAGTGTATTAGCTGCACCTTCTGCACCTGCTGCTGCTCACACACTGACAACTTCAAACCCTTCAACCCCGTGTATCTATACTTTGCCCAATGGGGGAGGCCAGGTGGACGTTCCATGTGAATGAATGGCCGGGCCGTGCGTCTTCACACCGTCTACCTCCCAAGGGCACAGGCTCACCTCCTGCCTCCCTCCAGACATCCTGTGGTGGTCCGTCTGGTTGCACTTGGTAGAGAACTCATCCTTCTTCACGATCTTCAGAGTTCCCAATAGAAGGAAAAAGAATCCAAGGAACACCACATTAGTTGGCATCCACCTCATCAGACGGGCGGCTGCCATCAGTCCCTCCTCATCCACACCCACCAACCCCTCCACAGGGGCCATCCAAGGAAGCAGGCTCAGAATCCCCCTGGGCACTGCCTCCTTCCCAGAGTAGGGGCGTCTGCACCTTCCCGGGGGACTCAGAGCAGCAGTGGGGCTGGGCTCCCATAGGAGCTGAATAACATGCCATGCTCATGGCGGTGGCCATCTGCCAGATCAACATCAGAGAGCAGAGCAGTTTACTCTCTGACATTCTTGCAAACAGGAGAAAAAGAGACAGGAGCTGCAGCCACAGAGAACAAGTGACTGAGTAAATGCAGACTCAAAAGAGTGCTCCAGCAAGTGAGTCTTGGGGGAGCTGCCCCACAAAAGCATAAATAACACACCATGGGACAGTCAGCACCCCCCCACCCACCCACCCCTGCTGACCTATCCTGGGCCCAGCTCTGCACCAAAAACGCCATGGTGCATTCGGCTGGCACCCTCGCAGGACAGCACTGGGATCACAAGGAGATCTGCCCCACGCCTGCTGTGCCATCTGCATCTGAGCCAGCCCTGAGCTCTCACCCACCTGGATGTGGCCGTTGTGGGGCCCTCGGTGGCCATACATACACTCCACCGTGGCAGACTTCCGCTCCATCAGGTGTACCCTAAACAAAGGCTTGAATCTCATTGGGTCATCGACGTGCGGGTCATGGGGAGGCAGGTACATCCAGCCAATGATGAACAAGCCATCCACCTGCAGCAAGGGGAGGGGCCGAGTCCACGCACAGGCCAGCACAGGGCACCCAGGGCAAGGGCACCGCCCCACCGCAGGGTGCTTCTCAATTAAAAAAACAGTCAGACCCGAAGCTCAGCGACCACTTCAGAGCCAACTTCTGGCTCTAAGATGGGGAGTTGGGGGTGGGAGAGGACAAACGGAATAATCCAGAAAGTCAGACACCCAAAGAGACAACTGACCCAACAGAAAAAATGGGGGTGCTGCTTTCCACAGAAGAGAGACGTGTGAGACCAAACCAGCCAGCACAATGGAGGCCCAGCGTGGATCCCACGTGAACCACTGTTAAAGGCAACTTCGAGACAATTGGCGAGACCTGAACAGGGACTGGGCATCAGGTAGCACCCACAAATCCTGCATTTGTGAGATGTGATAATGGCGTGCTGGAAATGCAGGATGACACCACGTCTCCTAGAGCGCACAGTGAGGCAGGTACGGACGCAATGCCACAGGCCTGGGACAGGATTTAAAATGCTTCAAAACAAAGAGCACAGGAGGAGGACAGAGCATGACCCCCGTGACCCCCATAACCCCACCTTGAACCTGGGGTGGAGTCTGCGGGAGCCCATCCTGCTTCTCCATCTCCACATCCATTCACAGTGCTGAGTGACGGAGGCAAAGGCCGAGGGTGGCCCCCAAAGGCACCTTCTCACAGGGAAGGAGGGAGGGTGCCACAAACATGTCCCCAAAAGTTGATATACTGGAAGCCTCACCCCACTGTGACAGTGTTAACAGGGTGAGAAACCCTACTATAGTATTTGGGGCCTTTGAGAGGTGATCAGATAGTGAGGACCATGCCCTCGAGAAGTAAGGGGCGTGGTTCTGCTGGCTTTGTAAGGAGAGCAGGTGAGGTCAGCCCTCTCTCTTGCTCAGCCCATTCACCATGTGACACCCAGCCTCCAAAACTGTAAGAAAGAAATTTCATTTTTGATCACTTACCCAGTTTCAGGTATTCTATTATAAGCAACAGAAATGGACTAATAAAGGGTCTCAGATGCACCCACTAGGAATGGCCCAGCAGTCACCCCCCTTCTAGGAGAGCTGGAACCCACCCTTCCAGCTCCAGCCACAGAGCAGGAGAGAATGTAATTGTTTCTGTCCTGACTAGTCCCAGATGAGCATGAGCCGGGGTTCCTACTTCACAGCTCCACCGCCCTTCATTATCCCCCGCGTTCAGATGCTGTTTTTTTGGGTTTTTTTAACTCTATTACTCACTGCCAGTAAGAAAACCAATTATCAGCCTCCATGACTAAAAGAAAGGAAAGAAGTCTGCCCATGCTGGAAGCTGCCTGGCTTGTTTCCAGGAAGAAATATACTAAAAGCAAGGCTTGTCCTGTGACACCAAACACAGCAAATGTAAAAGCATGTTTCTTAATGGACGTTTCCACCAAATCATGAAGAAGAAGCCGTCTCCACCCCTGACCACAACCCACCCGGTGAGCGAAGTGCACAGAGTGACAGGACATGGCCCCCAGGTGGCTGTACCCCAGGCCCTGAGGCATCGAAGGCAGACACACCTGCTGTCTTCAGGATGCACGCGGCCGCCCTTGGACCTGCTCCTCGTGCCCAGTGCACGCAATGGGAGGGAGCAAGACCAGAGCCCTGCATGCCCCAAGGGCGGCTCGCTTTGTTTTTTTGGGCATCAGCTACAGCGACACCTTGGGCGCCGGACACCTGCCCAGAGCTCAGCAGGGTCTGACTGTACATGCCCCTGGGTGGGGCTTCTGTTCAGAGGCTTGTCAAGAGGGCAGGAAAGTGCCCCACATAGGGGACACCTGTCCCCACAAAACCAGCAAAGGGCCAAGCCTCACTCAACACAGGTGCCTGCAAAACGCAGAGAAAAGGCAGACTATCTCATTGTTGTAAATGGACCAAAAATGAGCAGCTACTTTTCAAATTAGAGAGGCAAGTGCTGTGGTCGGAATGTTCCCCTCAGACTGTGGAGGAGCTTGATCTCCATGTGACAGTGTAATGGGAGGAATCTGACTAATATTTGAAAGGTGGGACTTTAAGAGGTGACTGAGTCATAAGGACTCGGCCCTCATGAATGGATTAACCCATTCATCAATTAATGCTTTAGCGGGTTATCAGGGAGAGCAAGCGAGCATGTAAAAGACAGTCTCTCTGAGCCCTCGCTGTGCACGCCCTGCATCGCTATGGGACTCTGCACAGAGCCCCCTCCCCCCAGGCAGAGGTCCCTCACCAGATGTGTTCCCTGGACCTTGGACATCCCAGCCTCCAAACTGTAAGAAATAAATTTCATTTCTGCATAAATTTCCCAGCGTCAGGTACTCTGTACTAAGCAACAGAAAGTGCACTAACACAGCACGCGACCGAGAGGCACATAACAATTAAAACAACAGGATGCCGCATGCTTTTGGCTCTGACCCTCCTGCTGAGACCGGCCATAAAGACTGAACACACCAGAACATTCTAAACATGGTCCGAAGACATCAGGGAGCACCTAAGGTGGCCCAGAGACAGGACACAGGATCCTGAAGAAGGGACAGGCTGAGGAGCTCAGAGGAGCAGGCCCTTCACCCCATCACCCCCACGCTAGCAGAGCATGGAGCCCATGGGCTGGAGAGGTGCATGCGGAGGCCAGGCTCCTGTGGGCACCAGATCCTGCACGCAGGAACCCAAGAACCAAGCCCCACATTGTGCACAGCTTTTGCTGGAGGCGTTTGCTGAATCCCAGGCTGTGAGGGGCGAGAGATAGGGAAGCCATGTGGAAAGTAGCTGCTAAGAGGCTAAAAAGCCAAGTGAAGCTTTACTCACAAGCCAGGAGAAGAGAAGTGGAGTCAGGGCCCTTGGGAGGAGGGATCACCCAGGGTAAGGCCTGTGCCCTGGGAATGAGGGCCGAGGGAAAGAGATAGGCTTCCCCAGGCCTGCAACGCCACTCACACCCCAGTGCGCTGCCCAACTCTACCTGCACACCAGAGGCCAGAGGCCCTTCTTGGGGAGACTCTGCACACCATGTCAGCACTCAGACAAAGTGGCCAGAACATGCAGACATGCCTGGAAATCAGTAGAAAAAGGAGAAACTATAAACTAACCCAGAGGTCACTGACAAAAGAAACTTTGACTAATATAATAAAGAAATTTGTCAATGAGAAGGAAAACGTCACAAGAAAAGCAGAATTTATTAAAAAAGAAAAAACAAAGCCAGACTTACACCTCTAGCTAAGAAAAAGCACACAACAGAAATATGAAACATCTGTTCTCAGATGCCAGGCAACAGATAGCTCAGGACCCACGACCCCAACAGAAGGGGGAGCAGGGAGGTGCCCCTGCCTTCACCCTGGCCATCCGCCTGGAACTTTCCCTCCACGGAGCTCAGAGGAGGCCCAGAGTGGAACTCAGCAGTCCTCCAACTCGAGGGGGCAGACATCAGAGCTCCAGGTGGTGGACGTGGCTGGAAAGTGTGGGGCAGGGACTCAGAAAGAGGGAACAGGCAGAGAGGGCTTCAGAATCCGTCCAGTGCCCCTGGGTTTTGCTGAAGACAAAGACACACCGACACGTGCCACATGAACCCATGAGGTTGGCTGTGAGCTGGAAGATCCAGAGCTCACCTGGGGCCTCAGTGGAGAGCCCAGGGTCAGGCTTAGAAATGAGGCTAACCTAGCCCAGAAAAGAGTCCACTCCCAACCCTCCATGTGAAGCCAATGCCTCAGAAAGGCCACTCCATCTGCCATATGAAGCTAACACCACAGAAAGGCCAATCCCAACCTGCTACGCGAAACCAACACCATAGAAGGGCCACTCAAGCCACCACATGAAGCCAACACCACAGAAAAGGGCCACTCAACCTGCCACACAAAGCTACTACCACACCTCTAAGAGAGCGCCTGAACCTCAGCCAACTCCAGCCCCACAGAGCCCAACATGTCCAAGGTAGACAGCCCAGCATCGAGGACTAACAGTCACCACGTCCACCTGAGCAGGAGCAAGAGGCATGCGAGGAGGCAGGAAGATGGCAGAGCACCAGCAGCAGAGAGACACGGCAGCTGGAGACGACATGGGGTTGTTGTCTTGCAGTGCTGGTGGACCAGGGCTTGAGAAACAGCTGAGCTGGGGACCTCCTCACAGAGGCAGAGTTGCAGCCCCCTGAAGGCAAGGTGCAGCGTCCCTAGCCCCAGGTGCCCATGCTCATGCTTCCAGGCTGTCCCCTCTCCCAACACAGGCCATTCTGTCTCCAGTTCTGGTCACCACAGGAACACACTGATTTACCACGTCTCTAGAGTCTTCTACCCTGAATGAGTTCTTCAGCCTCCCTTGCCTTGTGTGAATTAATACGGTGGAGCTGTGGGCGTGACCGTGGCCTGCCCCTGGGGCTGTGTGATTGGCTCCTCAATGAGGTGCAAGCCAGGTGAGCAGGAAGCCACAGAAGCCAGGCTTGTGCCTCACGCCAGGAGGCACAGGAGGCCAGATCCCGGGTGGGGCAGGCCAGCACTGCGCCTGGAGGGTGGTGTTGCTAGATCTCTCCCCATAAAGGCACCTTTTTCTCCTTGTGACTGTCATCAGATGAATAATGGCCAAAAAGATGTCCACATCCTAATCCGAGGAACCTGTGAATGTTTTTACCTTATATGGCAAAAACAGACATTGAGATGAGGAGATCATTCCGATTACCTAAGTGGGCCCTAAGTGCAATCACATGTATTCTCATAAGTGTGAGGCAGAGGGAGATCTGAGACAGAGGAAGCCATGTTAAGATGGAGGCAGGGCTTGCAGGGACACAGCCACCAGCCAAGGACACCTGGAGCCACCAGGAGCTGGAGGCAGGAGAGAGTGCAGCCCTGCCCGCACCTGAACTTTGGACCTCTGGCCTCCAGGCTGCGGGAGAACATGCTTCTATTGCTTTAAGCCCCCCGTTTGTGGTGCTTTGTTATGGTTGCCCAGGAGACCCACACAGAACTGGGCAAGCACTCTGTAGGAAGATGCTCTGAGGCCGTGGAAACACCCCGTTTCCCTGGTCTTACCATCGACAGTCCTGGCCTGCCTAGTATTAGTATGGTGGCTACAAAATGTTTCCCTTGTTTTCTAGGAGAAAACATTTAAAAGCAGAGCCTGACAATCACACTTTCTGGGCTTGTTCTGAGGTTTTCTGTGTGGCCAGCCACAGCCTGGTCCCAGAGCTGCTACATCTACTGTAACTTGCGGTGATGCTGTGCCCTGAAAGTGCCTATCTAGCAGCTGGATCAGGTCTTATTCACAGACCCTGTATACAGCAGGCACTCAATATGTGTAGGCAGCGGGCCACAGCCAGGGCATGTCAGGAGCATAGAGCAGGGACCTGCTGCAATGCCAACATACCTGTGCCACCCCAACAGGGGCCAGAGCGGGGATGAGTGTTTTAGGATCTGGGGCCCTGTGTGGCTGCTGTTCATATTCTTCATTTTCTTCAATTTGCCGGCCCCTGACTTAGAGCAGCCAACGCCTGCACAGCCCAACACTCGAGTGTCCCATGGGCGTGGCTGTGAGGGCCTCGGTGTCCAAGGGCACGGCAAGCAGGCCACAGAGCTACTTAAAACAAAACTTTGCTCATTTGGAAAGTAAGATCTGGCTCCTGAGCCATTACCTCACGAGAGCTCTTCTCAACCACCTCCACATTCGCCCCGGGCAGGGCCCGCCATGCTCAGACTCACCACCACGTTCAGCAGTCCTCCATATGGCCCGATGTCCGGCTGCCACAGCCCCAGAATGTGTCGGTATCGGTGAAGCACTGCGGAAGAGACGATGACAGCCTTCACGTTAGGGCCAGCCTGCTACAGGCACAAGAGGGGGGAAAGAATCGCAAAGAAACCACTGACGAAGCCGGTGAGAGCCTTTTAACAAACGTGTGCCGGCCACCTCCCTTCTAGGCCCACTCTGGGTTAGAGGTAACGCACGGTGACTACCCTGCCTGGGTGGGTTCCCTGATGCAGGAGCTGATTTGGGGGTGGTCCCAGGAAGAAGGGGCAAGGGGTAGGGAGCAGAGACCCGGCAGGAGGAGAAGCGACATGACGGGCATTCTGCAAATGCCTCCTCTTGGTTGAGGGAACGGTGCAGGCAGCCAAGCGGGGCTGTCACTGCCTCGCACTGTGGCCCTGCACGGATCCCCAGTGCCTCCAACAGAGGGGCAGAAAGTGCAAAGATGCTGCTGGGTCCCCTTAGACTTGGGGCTGCCTGTGCGAGGGGAGCTTAAGCTCACCCAGGATGTCAGGGGCGGAGGATTTCCAGGCACCTGAGGGGTCTGCTGAGGATGCCTGGAAAGCTGGAGGATCCCTGAACCTCCAGCAGAACCACCGAGAGGACTCAGCAAGGCGGGTAACGAGGGAACACACACAAAAACCAGCATCAGTAACTCAGAAGAAAACAGCAGACCCCAGTCTCAATAGCAAAAAGCAAATTAAATCCACTTACATTAAAAATAGGCTTCAATAAAGACAGACACACGCAATGTTGTTGCATAGGAAGAAAATACCCTAAACACATAAGTTCCCAAAAATGATTTTTTTTTTGTTAGAAAGATGACCAGTAAGGGGATTTTACCCCTTGACTTGGTGTTGTCAGCACCACACTCAGCCAGTGAGCAAACCGGCCATACCTATATAGGATCTGAACCCATGGCCTTGGTGTTACCAGCACTACACTCTTCCGAGTGAGCCACAGGCCAGCCCCAAGCCAAAGGCTTTTTTAAAAAACAATGTAGGGCCGGCCCGGTGGCGCACTGGAGAGTGCACCACTTGGGAGTGCGGCGGCGCTCCCGCCGAGGGTTCGGATCCCATGTGGAGACCGGTTCCCGCTCACTGGCTGAGCGCGGTGCGGGCGCAACACCGAGGGTTGTGATCCCGTTGCCGGTCCCCGGTACGGACGCGACACCGAGGGTTGCGATCCCATTACCAGTCAGTAAAAAAGACAAAAAGGAAAAAAAAAAAAGTAACAAGGTCCAGGGTTCAATTCCCATGGCCAGCCACAGAAAAGTAAAAACAAACAAAAAAGGGCCGGCCCGTGGCTCACTCGGGAGAGTGCGGTGCTGATAACACCAAGGCCCCGGGTTCGGATCCCATATAGGGATGGCCGGTTCGCTCACTGGCTGAGCGTGGTGGTGACAACACCAAGTCAAGGGTTAAGATCCCCTTACCGGTCATCTTTTAAAAAAAAATAAATAAAAAAAAATAACATAACACAACAAAACAATTCCAAAGGTCACATGAAAGAATAAACAAGTGAAAAAGGCCAAGAATACTAGAAATTTAAAAGACTGATCCTATTAAAATGCACTGTTCTGGGCTGGCCCATGGCTCACTCAGGAGAGTGCGGTGCTGATAACACCAAGGCCACGGGTTCGGATCCCATATAGGGATGGCTGGTTGGCTCACTGGCTGAGCGTGGTACTGACAACACCAAGCCAAGGGTTGAGATCCCCTTACCGGTCATCTTTAAAAAAAAAAAAAAATGCACTGTTCTAACTAAAGTAATCAAAACAAGAACAGAATGAGAGATTAACAAGAGAAAACACCCAGGGAAGACCTAGCAGCAGTTCACATGAGTGACGAAGTGAGGGAGGGTTTAACAGGCAGGGGCACAGGACAAAATGTCACAGGACCGCAGGTTAAAACTTACGCTGGGTCATCTCTCTTTCTGTAAAGTACATTTCTCCCTCCTCTTATTTCAAAAGCAGTACATACATATTCATTGAAGACAATTTATAAGAAAGGAACCCACAGCTCACCTGTCAATCCCCTACACAGAGATGCTGGTAAATGTCCTTCACATTACTGTCTTTGCACATGTGCTTGCAGAGTGAGTGAATGAATGAACAAAGGAGCAAGCTACCAGAAGAACAAAACCGGGTCGTGGGGGCCCTGACTGCCAGGTGTCTGCAGGCAGTGGGAGCCACAGGTGGTGTCTGAGCACTGGGGCTGCATGACTGCACCCAAGTGCAGGCAGCAAGATCCATCAGGCAGGGCCAAGAGCCTGGGGACAGGGCAGCAGCTAGGAGGTCACCACCTTGGTCTGGGGCACAGGGACTAGGAAACACCCTGAGCCTCTGTAGTGTGCAGCAGCTGGCAGGGGAACCACCAACACTTCCTCAGGGTTCAGGAGGTTTCTACATGAGCCTTGGCTATTTGTTGGATGCCTGCTACTCGTCCTGTGCATGGAACTCCCCTTTTAGAACAATCCTCTGAGTCTGTGTACAAGACACCCATGACAAGGCCAGTCTCGTTATTTTATGGTCATACCTCAACAGGTCTGTGTTTGTTAAATAAGTGATAATAAGCAGGATCAGGAACTGTAAATAAATATCGAACTCCAGATAGTGAAATGCACGCTTAAGTGTTTAGGGGTGAAATACAGTGACGTGTGCAACTTACTTTGAAATGCATCAAAAAAGAGTCAGTGGATGGAGGAAGGGAGGGATTGACAGGAGGACAGATGAACAGCTGGGTGACAATCAAGGAGATGGAATCCAGGAGAAGGAAATGAGTATTCCCTGTACAATTCTTTCAACTTTTCTGCATGTTTTCAAGTTTTCATAATAAGACATTGGAAAAAATAAATAACATTATTCAACATGACCCCCTCCCCTTCCCTCCCAACTCAACTGCTAGCAATGTCTGTTTCTTTACAAAAAATCAGCCTATCCCACCTCAAAGCCCCTATTCAAAGAACATGCTAGACTCCTGGCAATTACAGAAGGGGAGTTCCCTGTTTTGCTGAAAAGCAGCATCTCTGAAATAAAAATACAGCCACCACAAGATGCCTGTTTCGAAGTGAAAGTTCTCCCTGGTGTTTTAAGCTCTGCATGTCCGTGAAAAAAACTGGTTACACCCTCTTCACTGTACTTCGGAAGCAAGGGCTCTGCTGACTTGCTTACTCAGGTAGCCCAAGCCACCCCCAAAGCCACCCCCAGAGTGGGGGTGTGCATGCTGACCAGAGGAGGCACACAGCCTCCTGATGCAGAGGCAAAGCCTGTGTCTTAGACACTTTAGAAAGTTAAAACACACCAGAGATGAATCCTTAAAAAGCAAGGCTCTCACAAAAGCAAAATATTCAGTTAAGAGAAATGAATGCATACACTTAAATTAGAATTAGGCTGCCATTCACATGCTGAGGGCAGAGCTAGAAACATGTGAGTGTGAACTTGACCTCTGAAAACCGTGAAGACTTGCCGATTCCATGAACAGGTGAGCCAGCCGTCTACTTCCCCAAATATAAGGACTCAGGACAGTGTTCACTGCGCTTCCACGTATCAAAGGGCTTGGCGCTCCCTGTATCTCAGTCAGAAGCAGTGGGAGACAGAGGATGTGCCCCTGCCCCAGGCCACTCCCAGGCCTCACTTGGGACAGCTGCCACTTTATCAACCCACATAAAATATCAAGGGCCCGTGGGACAAGGAAGGAGAAAAATTGGTCAAGAGCATTAAAAAAAGAAAAAGGAGGGACAGATTTTGTCATCACTTATGGCTGAAAAAATTGAGACGTTAAGAAACCATGCACTGACCAGACACACAGATCTGGGCACACATCTCCGTTCTGGCACAGGTTACCATGACCTAGAGTTCTCCAAATAAGGCAGAAGGGGTCAACTTACCTCAGTGCCCCCCTCCGCCCACAGGTGAGTTCTGTGCTCTAGTGACAGTGGTAGGGATGGAGACCTTGCTTCTGGATGATCCTAAATTAAATGTGCTGACCTGCAATGTCTCAGTGAGTCTATGAAAGAGCACATATATTACCCACTATTACCTATCTTTCACTTAGGCAACTGTATTAGCTCTCTATTGCTGCTGTAAACAAATTCCCACACATTTACTGGCTTATGGTTCTGCAGGTGAGAAGTCTCACCAGGCTATGAGCCAAGGCGTGGGCAGGGTTGGCTTCTTCGGAAGCTTCGGGGGAGAATCCATGTCCTGGTCTTTTCCGGCTTCTAGAGTCTGCCGCACTCCTTGGCTCGTGGCCCCTCCTCCACCCTCGGAGTCAGCAGCACACCATTCTCCAGTCTCCGATGCCAACTCTCACCCCTACTGCCACATCTCTGACTCTGACCTCCTGCCTCTCTCTTATGAGGACCCCTGTGGTTACACCGGACCCATGAAGATAATCCAGGATAATCTCCCACCTCAAGATCCTTAACTGAATCACACCTGCAAAGACCCTTTTACCATGTGTAGTGAGTTAAATGGTGTCCCCCAAAACTCAGGTCCACCTAGAACTCAGAATGTGACTTTATCTGGAAATAGGGTCTTTGCAGATGTAATCAAGTTTAGAGAAGTCATAAAACCACAGAGGCAGGCCACTTGAGATGGAGGAAGAGACTGCAGAGAAGAAGCCACACACCAGGGACCTCAGAGCCACCAGTAGCTGGAAGAGGCAGAAAGGAGCCTCCCCTATAGTCTTCGGAAGGAGCACGGCCCTTGATCTTGGACCTCTGACCTCCAGAACTGTGAGAGAACAGATTTCTGTGGTTTTAAGCCACCCGCATTTGTGTTAATTTGTGAATCAACGTCAGCTTCTTTTTTGTCTTTTGTTTGGTTTTTGGCAGCTGGCCAATGCGGGGAACACATTTGTGTTAATTTGTTACAGCAGCCCCAGGAGATGCATACAGCCCATGAGGTCACGTATCCCAGGCTCTAGGGTAAGGAGGTAAGGTCTTCGGGAGACTTCCTGCAACTCCCAGGGCCACACACTGGATTTCTCCTTCACTTGCACTCCATGCATATTCTCCAATTCCAGAGGACTG